CTCTAGAATCCTACTTAACCTTGTTTGTTTAAATTTTTATGTTTTAATTTATAGACCTTAAGGAAAAGGAGTTGTACATAGCCAAACTAGTGAAGGAAAGACAAGAGAGGGTCCTCAAGCAACCTATCAAAAAGACTAGTTCCATTGGACTACAATTTAATTACCTGATCCCTTCAATGGGTAAGAGTATTATTGACTGACTGACTGTGTGTCTTATTACTACTGATAGATAATTAGGACTGTCTGAGTGATGTACAAGTAGCGGAGAAGAAGCTGTTTCTAGTTCAAGGAGAGAAACCTCAACTAATTAATTGGGAGAAATATGGTCTAAGGATTGGAGTACAAGAAGATACCTTATCACCCACCGATACAGTTGAGGTAGCAGTGGTCGCTCTTGTAGGAGGAAAGTTTGTGTTTCCAAAGAATACAGTACTAGTGAGTGCTGTTTATGCTGTTTCAGTATCCAAGCCTCTCCTCAAGCCATTGCGACTAGAAATTGAGCACTGCATTGATCTGAGGGGGCGACCAGGTCTTACACAATTTTTGAAGTTTGCCATAGCTCCCGTGAGCACACACAGTCTTCCCTACCAGTTCTTTGTAGTTGAAGAAGGAGAGTTTAAAGCTGATAGTTGGTATGGATCTATTCAACGTAAAGAGTTCTGTTTGGTAGCTATTGTTGGGGAGAAATTTCTACCCAAATCATCAACTAATGGAGAAGAGTCAGAGGAAGAGGAGGAGGAGGAACAAGCAGAAGAGGAAACTGAGGAGGAAGTGGAAGTTGGTAATTCCAGTGATTCGGATAAGACTAAAGATCCACCAGGAGGTAGTAGTGGAGGACAAGGTCAGTAATGAATCAGTGAGTGTGTACTAGTATATAATGAACTGAATCTATTGCACTATGTAGGAGAGTCTACTAGTAATGAGGGAGTAGAGGAAGAGGGGGAGACTGGAGGTCAACCATTACATGAGGAAGGAAATGAAGAGCAAGATAATGAAAGAGTAGAAGAGTCAAAGGATCATGAAGAACCACAGCATGAAGAAGGAACTGCTCCAATACCTTGTACTGAGATTAGTTCAGATTTTAATAGTAAGTAACAGTAAATATTAATTATTGTACTTTTGTGAATAGGTAAAGTAGTGGTTTCAACTGGTATAGTAGAGAATATGGCTTATGCTGGACTGGTTTATTATGAAGAGAAAAGAGCTGAAGATTTGGTGACATTTGCTGCTGCAAAAGATCTAAGTGCACTGCTTGAGGTAACTTCACTTATATTATGTAATTATATAGCCGTCTGACTTTGTTTATAGTTTATTAAAAAAGACTGTCCTCATGCTGAAAGAGGGCAAAATATTCTATTTTGTTTTAAAGATTATCATGGATATATTGAGTTAAAATTTGATGCACCTCAAAAGAAACCATTCACTGGTTGGAATATTGAGCCTCACATGGACTCATGCAAAGTAAGAAAGAATGGGGCCCATAATATGTACTGGCATTATGTATAATGTTATTAATAGTTTCTACGTTGTGATGTTGATAATTTTGGTGAAGCTAATTATCCTCTTCCTCCATGTTGTCTGGTATCAGTCTATGCTTCACCTGGTGCTGTACCATCACTACATTACTCTGTACCACTGGATGGAGTGGCCGATCCTGTTACATTATTCATTCATCGATCACTGAGAACTGCTCCTCCTCCTTCAGTACAAGGTACTAGCTCAAGTTCCTCTACTGCTAGTATCAGTCAAACCAGGAGAGAGACTGAAGAAGGTATGGTTGATATTAACATAATAACACACTAATCACTAAATTTGTATCATTGATGGGTACGTTTAGATCTGATATTGCTCATAGAGTAATGACAGAATGTACTTCATTAATAAAGAATTGTGGGATTGATATTTACTTCTTAGTTGACAAGCTACTGGAACACAATATTATCAATGCAAGAGAGAAGAGAGGAATAACTGATGGCTACACTAAACAAACCGCTGGTGAAAGAATGGATGAATTGCTTCACATCATTTCCAGCTCCATTAGTATGGAAGGAGAAGTATTTGGTATATTCTTAGATATACTTAGAGAAGAAGGTACTAGAAGAACTATTAAACTAGCTAATAAACTAATAGAAAGATATAAATCGATGTAGATGTTTTATTCTTATTATTTTATTTAATATTCTACATTGTATTTTTATTAGTTTAGAAATGAACTAGGACTTGATTTTGATCCTTGATAGTAGTTTTGATTAATTTTATTGATTTTCCATAATTATTGCTTATTGAAAAATAATTATGCCATTTGTAAAAATACCATGTACTTATAGCGCATGCTTTTACCAAAAATGGC